GCTTTCCATTGATGTGTGGTTTGTTAGGATAGGACAATATTTGTCCGAGATACAACTATTTGAAAATCTAGAACTTGAGGGTGCAAAAAAATCCAAATATTGAGATAAAGTCGCCTTTAAAGTTGTCCAAATGGAGTCCTTAGCAATGCATATTACTAATCAAAAATTAAGTTTTGATATATTTACAGTAGGAAATTTACAAAATATCTTCATGGAACATGATCTTTACTTAAAATCCTAATGATTTTTGGCATAAAAGAAAAATCGATAATTTTGACCCATACAATGTATTGTTGGCTATTGCTACAAATATACCCCAGCGACTTAAGACTGCTTTTGTGCTCGGGTCACATATTTGTCGAATGTAAAAAAGAGCTGAGAGCCACTGTTTCACAGGAAGCACATTCCTTTTCAGTTGTTGACATTAATCTCACTGTATGTCGGTGTGTTTTGGCTTGTGTTTCAGGTGACAGAGCTGGCCACAGTCAAGAGGCCTCAGGAGAGAGCGTACGCTTTACAGCGCTGGCAGGAGGATGGCGGCGTCATGATCATAGGCTACGAGATGTACCGCAACCTCACGCAAGGACGAAACATCAAGAGCAAGAAGCTGAAGGAAACCTTTCAGAAAACTCTGGTTGATCCAGGTGAAGTTACTGCATTAGCAAAGCGCTTCCGCTCACGTGATTATGAAAAACGTGGAAATATCAGCTGGTAAAAAGATTGTGTTTTCCAGTCCATGTCAGATTTCTTGGTGAATATACATGTTTGTACAGTAAAAAGTTTAATTTACTAGAAAATGCTCTGCATGAAGGAAATCTGTTGTGTGTGTGTTGATAAGAATCTGTGAGAGCACTGCACACATTCAGATGATGGACATGAACCGAATGGATGATGTTTTGATGTACAGGTCCGGATTTTGTCATCTGTGACGAGGGTCACGTGCTGAAGAACGAAGCGTCTGCTGTCTCCAAAGCCATGAACTCCATCACGACTCGTCGGCGAGTGGTGCTGACAGGAACCCCACTGCAGAACAACCTGATAGAGTGTGAGTCACATGAGTGCTGGTGGTTGACCAATATGGTTTTTATTTATTTGTGTATTTATTTCTTTCATGGCCGGCAACTTGAGAGTTCAGTAGGCAATAAAAAATTTTTTTAAAAATAAACTATTGGATGTGGTTATCAGCCAATGCCATAATCTTAAAATTCCCAAATATCAGCTAACACATTGGTAGAGTATTAGTTACTAAATACTAGTGCTGTCAAACGATTAATCGCATCCAAAATAAAAGTTTTTGTTTACATAATATGTGACCCTGCAGCACAAAAGCAGTCTTAAGTCGCTGGGGTATATTTGTAGCAATAGCCAAAAATACATTGCATGGGTCAAAATTATCGATTTTTCTTTTATGCCAAATATCATTAGGATATTAAGTAAAGATCATGTTCCATGAAGATATTTTGTAAATTTCCTAC